CACTTTGTTTTTACCAATAATAAGGGAAAGGTAAATACTTGGAGACAAAAATATGGGAATATCTCTGTTCATACATAGGAATGCCTCTGTTAATTGTGTTAGTTCTAAAGCTAACAAAGTCATCAAACACAATGGCTGAGACTATTATTGTAACAATTTCCAAATGTTGAAAGCTATCAAGAAGTCTCATCAAAGGGCACCCTGAAAGGAAGACTTTTTGTTTTGGTTTGGTTTGGGTTGGGTTTTTTTGCTCTTAAGTTTGTAAGTTTCATGCATTTTTAATGCAAAAAATATTTTTTTACATTAGTCACAAATGCTTTGACCTCTGGGTATATTTGTTCTATTTTACAAATGCACACATAAACAAAGGCAAATACAAATGAAATTGCATTTTTGAGATGTATTTAGCCCTGATCAAAGCTAGTTTTTTATTTGTGTGTTAAAGTTATGTATTTTTTGTTTGTGTTCAGTGGTGACCAGAAAGCTTTACATGTGCTTCTTATTCAAAACACCAAAGTACAAATGCTGTAAGAAGATTTTCAGCTTTTTCTTATATTGTCTGGAGGGGAAAAGAAATGTAAGTACTTAGGATAAGTATAAGCACTTTGGCAAGTATTTATGTTGACACATGCCAGCAAAGCCTCACAGATTGTTGTTCTCAAAATCAGTAACCATGCCAAATCGTTCTTATTCTTTCTCTGTTTGGGACACACTACCTCCTTTTCATTGGTTTCATTTATTTCAGGTACTTTTCATTTTCATGTATGGGATTTTGAGAAGTCTTAAAGATGATAGTGTCATATACGCATTTTTAGTGCAGGAAAGTATTTTTAACTAAGAGATGGTAATGATATATCTGCTAAGAATGATCCTCATCTAGTATTGAACCAGTTGGGAGCAGGAGGAAACTCCTGTGAAGTTACATGTGGGGTTTTGATGTACTTTATTTGTTTGTAGTAAAAACATGAATCAAAATGAAATTTCTCTCAGCCTCCATCAGATACTGTAGCAGCTTGCCACAGGCCATTCCCAACTCTCCTGTGTTTAATGGCCGTGACTTCTTTGTATAGAAGACAGAGAGTCTGCTTCCTCCTGTTTTAGGTTAGAGTTATCCTGACATTTGTTTGTACTCCTGTTAGACTACACTTTTGCTCTATTTTAGAAACTATAGGCTCATAATGAATTTGGCTTTTGGCAGAAGGGCCAGGACCAGAAATGGAAAGAGTGAAAAATTTCTCATTAAGTCTGACAAAGCTGAAGACCTTCAGCTGGGGTTCAGCTGTGCAGGAGGCAGCAAAGGAAAGAAGTGTAGGAGAAAAGTACCAGATGTAGCAGCTGTAGGAGGAAAGTACCAGCTGTCTGTTCTGGAATACAAAGATGACAGGCCAGGGCTGTTATGTTACTCAACACAGCCACTCAGAAAATCTTCTCCAGATGAACCTCAGAGACCTGTTCCCAGCCTGTGACAAAACCCAAAATAACCCTTACAGTTGCTTGTGAAATGGTACCAAGGAACCACAGAGAACCAGCAGCCTGAGTCTAAGACACATACAGAGGTTCTCCTTTTCTAAAGAATTGACGTATTGTTTGACCCATGTTAAAAAGTATTTGTCAAGAGTAAAAATATAACTGGGATACACAACATAATTTTTAATTGTTATGCAGGTAGAATGTATGGAAAATAAAATTGCATTTGATACATTTTACAATGCATAGCCATATGTTTTACATATGTTCTACAATGTTTTACAATGTTCCTCAAACAAACACGTTTGAGGAAAATTTTCAGTATATAAAACACTTCACATAATCTTAAATTGGTAGATAATAAAACCCAGGAAAAGCACATCCTATATGATAATGCAGGGTCAGTTTTGTCCCTGCTGCATTACCCTTTCTGCGATCTTGGATACAGCTGGGAGTAAGACAAGCAGGCAAAGGAGGAGGAGGAGAATTACGTGTGGAAAACCAGAAGAAATGAGTGTTTCAGTGCACTGGCCTTCACAGAACTCCTTGAAGTTTGTGCAGAAGTCTTTGGCCTCTTCCACTGCCATTGAGTACTCCAGTGCCTTCCTTTGAATTTAGCATTGGAAAGGGAACACCTTTTTCCTTTTTCCTTTCCATCTACATCTCCCAAAGACCAAACATAAAAAGAAGACTTTCATAACTCCTAGGCATGCAATTCAGTAGAATTCTCTGAATGAAATATAATGTGTGACAAGTTTCTGTAACTAGCCAAGAGGCAGTGGTACCTACTGCAGTGTTTTAAATGTGGGCAAACAGGAAAAGCTGATTGTTTCAGACCACACCAGTGTGCAACCTTTGTACTAGATCAGTCCAGCCCCATAGGTAGAAATGGTTGCTGCTGCACTGGACAAATTCTGCAGAAATTATGTGGACCTTATTGGGAAATGAAAGAAATTAAATGAAAAAAAACAGGACAAAAGCAGGTTTTTTTTTCCCTGTAGCTCTTGCAGCCTGTTCCTCTGAAGTTCCTTTTCTATCTTATCCAAAAGGTGGACAAAGTTCATTTCAGCATTAGCAATCTAAAATAAAATCTCAGCTGAGACTAATTTGCATGAATAATGAAAGCAGTTTTCAAATGTGGTATTATATATACTTTTTTAAAGTAAATGCTGACATTTTAATTTTTCTGGAGCACTACCTATGACCCTCTTGGCTTTGTTTTTTGCATTGAAGTTCAAACTAGTGACAAGCTGGAAATGGGTTTAGAGCTCCCTGACTGCTGTGGAAGCAACTGGGGCAGATACTTACGACTGAAAATTATTTAGTCAGGCAAGAAATCAGGAGGGTATTTTCGGAATAATAAATCAAACTCACACCTCTGGGCAGACAGGACATGAAGATCTAGAGCACTGATTTTTGTGCCCTTGCCCTGATGAGCAGAAGTGCCACAACAGCCCATTGTTAACTTTCCACCCATCTCAGGCTGACATTGCCATCATTCAGGTCCAAGTGACATTGATTTGTCTGGATGGCTTTATAAAAAGCAAGGCAGAAATTTTCAGAGAAATCCTGTGAAGATGGGCTTGCCTCTCAGCCATCTGAAAACACCTTCCAAAGACTGCTGGGCAGACCAGAGCCCACATTATGATTTTTAACTTATTCATCAGCATCATCATTTCTGAGACACTCGCACATGACAAACTCGGGGTGCCCCATTCCTCCAGCTGTCTAGGAGGCTGTTCTACTGCAAGTTCCTTGTCCTGACAGAAACATGGAAGGCTCATTAGGGCAAGACTTAAACTTTCCCATCTTCAAGCAGCCTTGGAATAAATCCAGAAGAAAACAAGATTTTTTTTTTTTTTTTTTTCTAGTGCACAATCAGGGGTACAAAAGCCAAGGCTACCCAGCCAACTACAAGTGCAAGGGCACTGCAGGACAGAAGTGTTTTGGCAGGTGGACATATTTGGGCAGGGGGACAGGGTAGTGCCATCTTTCCTCCGTGCCATGGGGCAGCATTGTGGCATTCACGTGGGCTTTTAAAAGTAGCTTTGGCTCTGCCGAGGCACCAGCATGTGGGAGGGTGCGCCAGGCTGCGGCTGGACTTCACCCTCGCACCAAAGCTGCAGCGCTCCAGGAGCGGGGATGGAAAGCGCGGCCCGCGGGTGGGCGGGGTGTTTACGTGTGTGCACGTGTGTTAAATTACTACTTTTAAATATATATCTTTATTTTTATTCCCTCGTGAAGTCCGGGGCGGGCTTTTTTCCCTCGGGATCTTAAGATCCCTGCTCTCCTTTCCCCGCCCCCGCCAGGGGGGACGGGCGGCCGCCGTACCTGGCGCCCTCTGCCCGGGAGGAGCCGCCCCGGCCCCGACGGCACCGGCGCCGAGCAGGTGGGCGCGGCGGGGCGCGGCGGGGCTGGGGGTCCCCGGCGGTCCCCGGGGGTCTCCGGGCCCCTCACAGCTCGGCCAGCCGCAGCGCCGGGCGGGGGCGCGGCCGCCGCCTTCCCTCGGTCCTGGCCGGGACTTCCCCGGTGCCGCGGGGTCAGAGACGACTCGGCGGGCAAAGTTGGTGCTGCGGCTCGGCCCCGGCCCCGGCCCCGGCCCCGGCCCCGGCCCCGGCCCCGGGCCGGCCGGCGGGGCAGCGAGGGCGCGGGGTGACGGCGGCACCCGCGGCCCCGGGATGCGGTACTCCCGGCGGCGGAGGAGGAAGCGTGGCTGAGGTCAGGCACGGGCTGTGCGCGGTGCTGCTCTGTTTTGTCAAGCAGAGGGTTGTTCTCCGGCGGAGGTGGATGGCAAGAAGTTTTGTTTTTTTGGTTTTTTTTTTTTTTCCTAGTTCTCGTCCTTGAAGTAGATGTGCTGGAATAGGTCAGCCGAGAAAACGGGACCGAGTGATTGTAAAAAGTACCGTGTATTAAATATTCGTGTACATATTGGAGGGAGAATGCTGAAGAAATGTTGGAAAGAAGCTCTTAAAGGTTTAATAATAATTAACATGGATAGAATTGAGAATAAAATCTAGTGACATTCGCATCAGCCTGCTGGCGCTAATTCAGAGCGACAGGGAATGTGTTGGTAAAGGGTAGCACGCAGATTTTTTATTTCTGTTTGGATATGCTCAAAGTTTGCAAAGACATAGGGATGATGGATTATGTGACAGCCTGCATCTCTGGGGCTGTGAAGGGGGACTGGGCTTGTGTTGCTCAAGAAATTCAGGAGTTTGAGAACAGGGAGGACACATGAGACCAGCATGCTTTTGTTTATTTTGGTTCTGAAAGTGGAATATTACTAAGCAAGGTTTCTGAAAGATAGCAAAATAAGTCTGATTTAGGAGAGGAAACATTGATATAAGGTAAAGTTTGATGATTTCCACACAGAACAGTCTTGGAGTGGTCTGGATTTATGGGCTGAAATCTGGAAGTGCTCCTTCTGATTAACACAGTAGCATATTGCTGAAACTGTGGTAGCAGTGATACCTGTACTGTGCACGCTGCATGAATCAAGTGGTTGAACTGCTTCCTGATACAATCAGTGTTTTCAGTTTCTCCATCTGTGTATGCAGTACAAGTTCCTGCTCATTTCACAACATGTGTTTGTATAATCTTTGTTAACATCTTCACTTTGCGTGCTTTGTACTGAAGGACAAGCCATAGGGCACATTATCAAGGAAATGAATGCAACTTTCCTGCGTGATGGCAGTCGGGGCTGGGACACTTGTTAGGCATTTGTGTGCGTGGGGATGGTTCCCGTTCGCTGCATGAACCTGTGACCCAAAACAGTTGTCCCGGCTGGAATGCGCAGGGCGGTGCAGGCGCTGCTGCCACCCACGGCTCGTGCGGGACATTGCCCTGCGTGCAGGGGAAAGGTTGAGTCTGCTTTGCTGTCAGGTACCGCCTTCCATGTGCAAGATAACATATGAGGAGCTCAGTGTGCGACCCTTAAAGCAGACTGTGTAAGTGTGTATTTTTTAATTGATAGACTGCTTTGGCTGTTTTGCTGTAGATGATGATGGCAAAGTCGGGGTTAGACTCATAACCAGAAAGAATGCTGTGGGAGTTGATGTTTTTCCTATAGAAGATTCAGGTTAGGGAATGGGGCTTGCAATATAAGTATGAAACTTAAGTATGAAACTTTTCTTTATTTGTCTTTTTAAATATATCTATTAAAAAGGAATCTATATCATTTTTAATAAAGGATATAGATTCTCTAAAGACAGGGGTGTATAAATAGTTTGACCAGCTTTGCATACAGACTTTGGTTGCTTAGGGGCAGATGCAATGTTTAATTCATTAGCTACAGCGCTCAAGTTATTGCTGGTTTGGATCTATGCCTGAAAATAATTGAGATGCACTTGAAATTCAGTTTCTGTGATGTACTGCACTGGAAAGAGCAATATATAACTGTATTTATCAAATCATTGTATAATACAAAGCAACTTCCTCTTTATTTCTCTCACTCCTTCTGCACCTAAAAGAGGAAATATAAATAAAGATCCTGTAACACCTCAGTTTCTGTTTCTGCAGTAGTGGAGTGTACAGTCAATGTTTGGAGTCTGTACATAATGACTACTAAATCTGAACTTGCAGAAAGTATTTAGATAGTTGGTTTGTTAAAAGTAAATCAAAACATAGCACTGTCACATCTCAGCAATCACTCCATAAAAGTCAGCACTGTTTGCTGAATGTCCTAACAAAATATAGCCACATGCTAATAGTTATTAGCATTATTGTCTTTATGCTTAGTAATTTTATTGCTTGATGAGGTCCATATTTTGGGAAACTCGTTGTCCTCTGAAAAGAAGACCTTGAACAGAAAATAATATCTTAGTCATAACAAATAGAAAAATATTTCCACATTTTAAGAGAGAGATGCTGAGAACTCCAAAGTAGAATAAAAAAAATTAACTTATGTTAAGTATTAAAAAGTTTAGTATTAATATTTTAGAATATTTTAGCTCCAAAGAGAAGCAAAACAGTGAAAAGCCTAATATAAAATCTCATTGTTTGTAAGTCATAACACACCTATAATAATTACATTCTGTTTTCAGACACATTTGCTTTTGTAGAAGCTTTTCACTGTGCTCTGTGGCTGGGACTAGCTCTGTTCAGTCATGCAAAGTAGGTGAGACTGGACAGGCTCAGCTTTCTTGCCCTGTAAGTTACTGCTCCTGCATGTGTGTGAGCATCTGCTGCATTATTGCGTGGGTATTTTATGTAGTTCATTTAAGTTCTAATAAATGAGATCACAGATGAAAAGCTGAAGCTTTGGGGAAATTATGCTAGGCTCTGCTGCGCCAGAATAAAAATTCCCATCTTCTTCAGAGTGTATGTGAAATTAGTATCTAAATAAACATAACAATCAAGTGAGATACCCAGTAAAGTCTTTTATCAAGAAGTCTTTAGTACTCACATTACACTGAGTTACCAGTAGCTGCTATGCAGTTTTGAGATGCAGCTTTCTGGACTGCTTTTAACACTGTTCTTATAGATCTTCCTCAATTAATCTGTGTTCTTACACAAAGTAGTTACTGTCTTTGAGAGACTGGAGCTTTCTGAAAATGGGCATATAGTAGAAGAACCTTAATGGTACTTCACAGTTGCTTTTTTATCTGTGGTCATTCTGCATCAGGGTTGTCTGGTGGCTCCATAGCCAGGATGAACAGAGATATAAAGAGTGCTATACTTGCAAACAGAATAAAATGTCCTTGCAGCTTCCAGATTGGAAAGAAAGAAACTGTATTTTCAGACAAAATTGTAATTTTTTTTTTAATACACCTACCTTAATTTCACTTCTGAGTATTGTGAAGTGGACTCATTCAGTATTACATACATGACAGCTGTAAAGCTGCCTTTTGATTGCTTTGAAAGAATGTGAAACAGCTAAAGGATTTTCACAAGATGCAAAAAGCATGTTTTCATGCCATGGCAATTGAAACAACAGCTGAAGCGGATTTCACTACCAGAAATATCTCTCTCTCAAATAAGATCATGCATGGAGAGCCTAATTCTTCTGTGCATTGACCCTGTGTCATCTTTCCTTGTTGTTACAAATAGATAGATAACTCTCTGTGATGCTAATGGTGTCACTCTGCAGCCAGCCCAGGCAGAGCAGAGCATCATAGCAGCTATGCTATAGCTACAGTGTAAGTGCTAAAGTGAAAAGTGGGGGAAAACTGGGCCAAAAGTCCCTACATTATTAAATTCACTAAGCATAAGAACAGAAAATTCAGCATGAAAGTGCTTGCTCAGTCTTGACCCTGTTCTTAAAAGTGTCTAAGAAAACTAAACAAAATGTGTCTGCTTTGCAGCTTCTGTGTAATGGATATTCTATATACTCCATTTACCCTGGTGGCAACTACCATGACTGCCTTGATAAATGGATGTGTTGGCTAGAAATTATAGCATTTCTGCTTCATTCATAAGAGAGGGGTAAAATGAAGGAAGTGAATGAATAGGTTTAGAGATAGTAACCCCTTTGTGTTGGTGCCTTTCACAAGCCATACACAGGTCTGTAAATACCATTTAACTTCTAGTTACTATATCAGGTTTTCCTCTTTTCATTATAAGTAACAAATAAAAAGAGAAGACCAGAATATAGTACTGAATCTCAACGGAGGTTATGCGGTCTTTTGTTCCTCTTTCGTATCCTATTGTTTTAAAGCTGTTATGTTACTACTTTCCTAAGTGGCATCGTTTTGTGTGAGAGAAAAATATGTATGCAGCAGCACTACTGATGTGTATAAAATAATCCTGACAGGCTTTTGGCTTTTGTCCAAGTCAGTTACACATTTTTTATATGCTAAGGAAGAAAATAAAAAACACTATATCCATTCAAAATCTGTAGATATGCTGTGTTAGTTGAGTAGACACATAAGGAAAATAATGAGGTCCATAAAAGGCAAGCCAGGCTTATATACCAGGAAAACAGACTGGGGTTTTAGCAATTTCTTTTCAGAGGGAATGTTTGCTTCTCTTTGGGAAGTGTAAATTATTGCAAAAATATCTGTCAAATTCTGCCTGGGATTTGGACAGAAAGTTGCTTTTATTGGTCAGTTGCATGACTGTGAACAGCTTAACATGTTAGTATGCTTCTTATGTTGCTGCAGATCATATATGCTGGAGTATTTTCAGAGTTAAAGCCTAAAGAACTGATCTCACTACTGAAAAGAAAGGAAAACTTTACATAAAAAAAAAAGAGATGAATTAGCCCCCAGATTAGTAAATTGGCAGAGGGGGTGGGGACTATCTCTGTAAGGTACTGTGTGAGTGATAGATGTGGGGTCTAGCAGGGCATTTAATACAGAATTAAAGCCTTTTTTAGCCTTGAAATTACTAAAGTAGCAAGGAAATTATGCAAAAGCGGATTGTACAAAATATCCTTGGATCAAATGATCATGAGTTTACATTGACTTAACAGTAGGATAAATTATGCAGTCCCATGTGGGGCTACTTGGGCTTGCTCTGAACAGATTGTACCAAGAGCTGCAAAGGCGTGGAGTAGTTGCAAAATGAGTATGCTGTGGTTACTCTGCTCCTTTCCTCTGCCCAGACTGTTTGACCTGCTTGTTTTTCTCCAATATTTCAATCTTTTATCCAATCCGTCAAGTGGAGTTTTGTACATTTGGATTAATACTTACCAGTTCTAGTCAGGATGTACATCCTCATATCTCCTAGAATCACATTCTGTCCGTTTTTTCAGAGCTGGACCAGCCTAGCTCTACATTTCTTCTGTTTTTCTCAGTATTAGTAGTTTGTGCTGAACCTTTAGTATCATCATGTAGAGTTACTTACTTTTACTCCATGTGCAGTGTTTCTTTCCCCAGGGCAGACAACTCTACCTTTTAAATGAAAGGCCTCTTCTTGCCTTGCCTTGTATCAACAGAAGGCAAAAGGTGCAGTGAATGGTGACAAGGGCAAAGAAAGTGGAGTGGGAATGGAGAGACTGGTAAACCACTAGAAAAGGGGAGAAATATTCAAAAGTGAAATAAAGAAAGAGGATGGGCCAGATCCAGGCTGGTTAATATGAAAGCTGAAGTCCAAAGCCAGCATAAAACTTGACACCAGAATTCATGGAAACAAGTGAGTCCTCATCTTTAACCTGCTTCGTCTGATGGTAGCAGATACTGATTGCTCTACAAGTATATTTCAGAGCTGCTCAAAGAAAACCACTTTTCTCTTTTGCACCTATGATAGATACAAATGCAAAAAATTTTCTATTGCCATTTAATCCCTAGAATAATTTTCCTTCTTTATCAGGCAGCAGTTAGTTGAGTCTTTTTGAATCCCTGATATTCATTGCTTATGCCATGTGTACAGGTAGGTATCAATCACAATTTCCTCTCTAAATATAATGCCTTTCCCAAGGAATTACCAATGAAGACCTTTAATAACTCAGAGGGCTGAAACATCAATTTAATAAACTCACATTGTTTTTTTCTCAATACTTTGTTTTATTAGCAATTCAGAACTAGGCCTGCAAATCAAAACATCTTTTGTCAGGATTTTTTTTTGTTGCAGTTGCAAATGACTGCAATTTGCTGTTCATTGTACAAAGTAAACCCATTGTCCTGAGTAAATGGATGTAAGATTGGAGCTAGATACTCTGTGCACTGCCTTTAAAAACAGCCAACAATTTTCTGTACAAGAAAGCATATTTACACCTTTATGCACATAGGCACTTTGATATAAGCTTTGATGCTTAAGGGAGAATAAGAACATATTGCATATTATTTTTTCAGAACAATGAGTTAGTTAAAACAGCAAAAATGCAATGTTATGGTAGCATAACAAGGCTTTCTTAATAACATAGGAATTTCTAGTTATGTACTTGTAAGTATGGAAGCCTTATGCAGGTGTAAAGAAACATCTGAGATGTAGCTATCAATTATATAACTGAAACAGGACAGCAGCTTCAACAGGATTGACAGAAAAGGGCATGAAAGTGAGAATGAAT